GGGCACGAGGGAGACGCCGGAGGCAGTGCCGGGAGCACGGTGCGGGGCGCAGCAGCCAGTGGCTAGCGCAGGGCAGGCCCTGGCAGGGAAGGCGTTCGCCGTGCGTCCCGTGTGGGGTTCCAGCCCAGCTGCGCTGTGGACGGGGCTCCTTGTGCATGTGGCCAGGAGCCGGGCGCCGAGGACTTCTCGCAGGTGGGGGCCTGCGCTCGGCCGTGATGGCGGAGGTTGGAAAGGGCGAAGGGCGGGGCACCCACCTGCCTGTGGCAAAGACGACCAAGCCCACAGTGACGTTTCTCCGCCTGTAATGCCTCTCCAGGACCTCCCTGCTGAAGGTGCCTTCCCACACGACTGGGGCCATCCAGGCCGTGGAGGTCGTCACGTCCGGACGCTCCCTGCCGATCAGACGAGAGTCGAGTGAGCGGACTCCACGCTCCAGCCTCTAGGGCTGCACTGCGCCAGCCAGCTTGTGCACGTGGGTGTGAGGGGGCACACCTGGGTGTGCATGCACGTGGCCTGGTGTGTGTGCACATGTGTTCGTGCGCACACGAGGGCCCTGACCCCTCATCTAAACCCTGTGACGCCTTGCACAGCAAGCACTCCTGTGGCTGCTGGTGCCACCAGGTAGGAGGCCGAGGTGTCAGGGAGGAGGGACACAGGACCGAGGCGGAGGTGGAGGTAGAGGCCCAGGGCCGAGGTGGAGGGTGGAGGCGGAGGGCCGAGGTGGAGGCTGAGGACTGAGGTGGAGGCAGAGAGGCCCGGGGCTGAGGTGGGAGGCGGAGGCAGAGGGCCAAGGTGGAGGTCGAGGCCCAGGGCCGAGGTGGGAGGTGGAGGCAGGGGTGGGGCTAAGGGAGCTGCTTGCCAGCCAGTTCCCACGCACTGCAGTTGGCACGGGGGGCCTGGCCACCTGCTCTGGGTCTGTCTGTTTCTCAGGCTGGTGCCGCCACCGCAGCCTAGGGGCTGATCTTGAGCTGACCATGGCTTCACACTGGGTGGCTCAGGGCGGCCATGGTGGCCAGGACCAGCTGGGAGGCCAAGCTGGCCCAGTGTCCGGCCTGCAGGGGAGAGGCAGAGGTGTGCACCTGAAACCCCGGTGACCCGGGCTGAGACAGGAGGGCCACGTGAGCTCAGGCCTGGCCTGGTCCTCAGCAGGACCCGTCTAAAAGTGGCGTGGCATGGTGGTGCCCGCCCTGGCTGTGGCAGAGGGCCTCACACTGCCTTGATAACTAGGCAGCCTTGAGAGGGACAGCCTCTGAGCGGTCCTGCGGCCACATCCCTGCAGGACCGCTGCCGCCCCTCAGTCTCTCACGCTTCTCTCCTTTCTTCTTCACTGTCACTTTTTCTAGAAGTTTCTGGAGGGTGCCATTTAACCTCCCTCACGCCTTACGTGCATGGGTACGATCCAGCATAGGCAAAAACTTGGGTCCAAAAGGAGAGAAAGACATTGGATTTGCTTCCAGTAATAACAAAATAACAGACTTCAAAATATGCAGGACTCAGCATCTGAAAACCCACCGGGGCGGGGCAGGGCGGTACCACAGGCCAACCGAGAACCACCCTCGCCCTCGCCTCACGGCCGGTACAGGGAAGGCACTGTGCAAAGTCCAGCACTCGTGCACGGCGGAGTTCTTAGGGAGACAGGAGCGCCCACGGAGGGGTTACCCCACCTCGGTGAAGAGCTCGCCCACTAACAGGAGCGCCCACAGAGGGGTTACCCCAACTAGGTAAAGAGCTCGCCCACACTTTGGTGAGAGACTGGGCCCTTCCTCCCCAAGGTCAGGGTCAAGGCTGCATGGCTGCTCTGGGCATCAGACTGGAAGTTGTAGCCGCAACAGTAAGGCAGGAAAATGAAATAAAGGGACAGGATTGGAAGGGAGACCGCCGTCCCCGTCTGCTCGTGGAGAGGAGAGGGAGACCACCGTCCCTGTGGGGCAGAGGGAGACCGCCGTCCCTGGGGGGGGAGGGAGACCGCCATCCCTGTGGGGGGAGGGAGACCGCCATCCCTGTGGGGGGAGGGAGACCGCCGTCCCTGTTTGTAGATAACTTGATTGTTCACCTAGAAAAATCCTAGGGACCAGAAAAGAGAAGACTCTCCAGGAGCTGATAAGTGAGGGCACTAAGGTTGTAAAACACAATGCACACACTCACACACTCACTCACACCCACTCACAATACTCACACCCACACCCACTCACAATACTCACACACTCTCACACACACTCACACACACTCTCTCACACACTCACACACTCATTCACAATACTCACTCTCACACGCACACTCACAACTCTCTCACACTCACAATACTCACACCCACACCCACTCACAATACTCACACACTCACACACACTCTCACACACTCTCACACACACTCACACACTCTCTCTCACTCACACACTCACTCACAATACTCACACTCACACCCACTCACAATACTCACACATTCACACACTCACACACTCTCTCTCACACACACACTCACAATACTCACACACTCTCACACACACACTCACACACTCACTCACAATACTCACACTCACACCCACTCGCAATACTCACACTCTCACACACACACTCACACACTCTCTCACACACACTCACTCTCATACTCACATACACTCACTGACATATACACACGCACACATACATGCTCACACATACTCACACACATACACACTCTCACATACACATACACACTCAGACATTCACTCACACTCATCCACACTCACTCTCACACATACTCATTTACACACACACTCCTACTCACACACTTTTACTCACATACACACACATGCACACTCGCTCTCAAACACACACACTTACACGCTCTTACATACACACACACTCACATATTCACACACTCATTCACACACACTCCTTTGAATGCAAAAAGCAATATAAGAAGCACAGTGCTGCGTAGTTACTCCGAACGAAACGGACCGCTCTGAAGCCCACTCCCCAACTGTGCCCCTCTTGAGACCCTCACTGCGCCTCAGAAGCGGCCAGCTACTCAGTCTGCAGACACGTGCTCCGGAACACGCGTTAGGGCTAGACCGCACTGTGCCCGCCCGTCCACCAGCCGATGGACGTCCGCATTCTTCACGCTCTTCGACTGCGGGCTAACCAGCATAAGCGTTCACATATGAGGTTTTTTGTTTCAAGAGATTTTTGCTACAGGCATGTGCATGTGCACTTGCTGGGCAGCCAGCACACGTGTCCCCTCGGACACTGCGGTGTGACTCCCAGCACACGAGAGCCACGTGCAGCGGGCGAGCCGGGCAGCCAGCACACACGTCCCCGCGGACACCGGAACTGCTCGTGCTGACGACGTGCAGCGTCCTTCCTTCGAGCTCTTCAGATGCCCAAACTGTGGTTAACTCCTGTTACTCTGCCGGAGCCCGGGAGCCCCGAGGGTGGGGGTGAGGGCTCAGGAAGAGACCCCCAGCAGCCGAAAATGGAGAGCGCCTTGCGGGGCTGACCACTGTGCAATGCAGGCTGCACGTCGCACTTCCAAGAGCCGCACTGTGCTGCGACCAGGTCCGGTCAGATGTCAGTTAAAGAAAGCACACCGCGACGCCCCTCGTACCAGCAGCTCCGTGTGTCTGAGCAGCAACGCCCGCGCCCGCCCTCCTGGCCTCCAGAAACCTCGAGTCTGTCTGGCTCTGTGAAGACACACTTTCAGGTCCCGCACAGGAGCGGAAACGTGGCTTTTCTCTTTCCTCGCCTGCGTCACTTCACTTCACGTGGCCTCGAGCGACAGGGTTTTATGCTGTTTTGGTTCAAGTTTATCTCTTCCATGAGTGAGAGAGACACACAGAGAGATGAGAGACAGCACTGTCAGGGCCTTGATGCAGTGACCCAGTCCAGCCTCAGTAAGCCCCGATCGCACGCATGCACATGCCCAAGGCACCCACGGAGGCTCCAGACCTCACCCGAGCCCTGCCGTCAGCCTCGGGGGGACTAGCACCCCTCATTAGTTTGCTTATTTGCTTCTTTTTTTTTTTTGCTTTTGGGCACATGCGCTTGCCAGACAGACAGAGAGAGACAGAGAGACAGAAAGCGAGAAATCACCCTCCGGGGGGATGGCCATGCAGCAATCCCTTCTCCTCCATTCTCCTCTCGGGATCTTGGGCACGCACGCACACGCGCCCGGCGTGAGTTTAAGCCACCGGGTCCAGGACGCGAACCGTGACACTTACACGCTCTTACATACACACACACTCACATATTCACACACTCATTCACACACACTCCTTTGAATGCAAAAAGCAATATAAGAAGCACAGTGCTGCGTAGTTACTCCGAACGAAACGGACCGCTCTGAAGCCCACTCCCCAACTGTGCCCCTCTTGAGACCCTCACTGCGCCTCAGAAGCGGCCAGCTACTCAGTCTGCAGACACGTGCTCCGGAACACGCGTTAGGGCTAGACCGCACTGTGCCCGCCCGTCCACCAGCCGATGGACGTCCGCATTCTTCACGCTCTTCGACTGCGGGCTAACCAGCATAAGCGTTCACATATGAGGTTTTTTGTTTCAAGAGATTTTTGCTACAGGCATGTGCATGTGCACTTGCTGGGCAGCCAGCACACGTGTCCCCTCGGACACTGCGGTGTGACTCCCAGCACACGAGAGCCACGTGCAGCGGGCGAGCCGGGCAGCCAGCACACACGTCCCCGCGGACACCGGAACTGCTCGTGCTGACGACGTGCAGCGTCCTTCCTTCGAGCTCTTCAGATGCCCAAACTGTGGTTAACTCCTGTTACTCTGCCGGAGCCCGGGAGCCCCGAGGGTGGGGGTGAGGGCTCAGGAAGAGACCCCCAGCAGCCGAAAATGGAGAGCGCCTTGCGGGGCTGACCACTGTGCAATGCAGGCTGCACGTCGCACTTCCAAGAGCCGCACTGTGCTGCGACCAGGTCCGGTCAGATGTCAGTTAAAGAAAGCACACCGCGACGCCCCTCGTACCAGCAGCTCCGTGTGTCTGAGCAGCAACGCCCGCGCCCGCCCTCCTGGCCTCCAGAAACCTCGAGTCTGTCTGGCTCTGTGAAGACACACTTTCAGGTCCCGCACAGGAGCGGAAACGTGGCTTTTCTCTTTCCTCGCCTGCGTCACTTCACTTCACGTGGCCTCGAGCGACAGGGTTTTATGCTGTTTTGGTTCAAGTTTATCTCTTCCATGAGTGAGAGAGACACACAGAGAGATGAGAGACAGCACTGTCAGGGCCTTGATGCAGTGACCCAGTCCAGCCTCAGTAAGCCCCGATCGCACGCATGCACATGCCCAAGGCACCCACGGAGGCTCCAGACCTCACCCGAGCCCTGCCGTCAGCCTCGGGGGGACTAGCACCCCTCATTAGTTTGCTTATTTGCTTCTTTTTTTTTTTTGCTTTTGGGCACATGCGCTTGCCAGACAGACAGAGAGAGACAGAGAGACAGAAAGCGAGAAATCACCCTCCGGGGGGATGGCCATGCAGCAATCCCTTCTCCTCCATTCTCCTCTCGGGATCTTGGGCACGCACGCACACGCGCCCGGCGTGAGTTTAAGCCACCGGGTCCAGGACGCGAACCGTGGTCGACTATGTGGGAGTCCAATGACATAGCCATTACGTTAACTGCTGGCCCCCCCACTATTAATCTTATTAAGGACTCTTTCTAAGTAGCACAGGGCTTCTCTCTGTCACCTTCGGGCTGCGGCTGTAGCTCCCCGTTTGATATACCCAGAAGCGCGTGGGTCTCTCTGAGGGAGCCGACTGGAGTCCCTGGGGCTGAGATCAACTCTCTCCAGCCCGCTTAGTTCTGTTGAGACCTAGTACATTCTTAACTTTATTTGTACTTCTCAGCTGCAGAATTTGCATTTCTTGCTTTTTTAAGAGATTTTTGCCACAGGGTGCGTGTGCTCGCCAGAGAGACAGAGGGAGACAGAAAGCGAGAAGTCACCCCCACAGGGGATGACCACACCGCAAGCCCTTCTCCTCTCGGGATCTTGGGCACGCACACACATGCACCCGGCGTGAGTTTCAAGCCACAGGGTCCGGGACGCGACCTGCATGCGGCTGGCCACGCAGGAGCCCCGCGCCTTGCACTACGCCACCTGCTGGCCCTGGCCCACCTCCATGATGCCCATCACTGTATCTTAGCCGGCGTTTCTATCTGGCAGCACATGGTCCCCGACTGCCCGTGGCACCCTCCTCGCGCTCTCCTGTGGTTCCCGTGCTGAAAGCAGCCCGCCGGGGCTGTCTGTCCCCCACACCGGGCCCCCGCAGGTCACACTGCCTTGTTTCTTTTCACGTCTGTCATTTTCTGAGGAAACAGTACCTGGTACAGTGTCGCAGCCCTAGAAATCGGTGTCCCTACTCCTGCTGGCTTGTCTGTCCCTGTGTTTTGGAACTGATTCGTGGTCTGTGTGATTTCCCAGGGACTTTGTGACGGCAGCTGGGCCACGGCTCGCCCCTGCTGCGTGGCCTTGCACCTGCTGCGTGGCAGGGCGTGGTGCCCGCCTGGCTGGCAGCCGCGGTAACTTTTCACCTTCGCTACCTGCTTGCCCAGAGCCCCGGGATTAGCCCATGGGAGCACTTGGGGCTCCAGGTGTTTTCCGGACACATACACAGCCTGGGGTGCACGTGGGTGTCTCGGTCCCCGCTGTTTCGCATCTGTCGGGAGCCCAGTGGATAGCTCACCCCTTTCGAGACCTGTTTAACCTGCCACATGCCCCACCACCCTCGAGCAGCCACAGCTTACGCGAGCACCCCTACTTATTCTCAAACGTCCTGGGGACGATCTTTGCAGTGGAGGCTCCCGTCAGGGCAGGGCAGGCAGACTCGTGTGAGGAGCTGCAGACTGACCAGACAGCGCGCGTTCTGGGATGTAGGTGCCAAAGGAGCCCCAGCCCCAGCAAGCACCCCCCACTGCCTGCCAAGATGCCGGGCTTGACTGCAGACGCAGACTGCCAGGTTTGAGGCTGCCCTGCAGCCGGTGGCGTGGCAGGGGAGCCAGTTTAAAAGCCAAAGTGCTCACGATCCTTACTGACACTCCGCTGTCTTTCCCGAGCGTACTCTACCAGGTTGCTGCAAACCTGTGCTTTGTTTCCAGAGTTCTGGAAGTTTCCCCCTTGGTTCTATGGACAAGAGGATTTTTGGAAGTCCCTCCTCCTCTGCTCCCACTGGTCTCAGTCAGAAAACACTTTGACCCCTCCTACCAGCAGCACCAGAAGCAGAGACCAGGAGGGGCTCGGGGTCACGAGGTGCTGCTTCAGAAAGTCACCGTCACTGCTGCGGACCTTGTGTGTCACGCATCCGATGAGATTTTTCAAGTCACCGGGTCTGGGACTTGAACTGCGCTGGGCCATGTGGGAGTCCAGAACCTTAACCCACACCACCTGCTGGCCCGACTTTTAAATCTTCGGGCACCCCTTTGCCTGTGCTTTCCAGGCTGTGCAGGTACCTGTTGTCAACCCCGGTCTGAAAATCAGTGACTGCAGGACGCTCAGGTGTTTGAGAGAACGTGTGCGTGTGTGCGTCCGCCCTGCGCTCCTCACAGCGTGGCCGTGGCTGTGGTCGGGACGGCTCTGCTCCACCCCAGCGACTGCCACGGGTCTCCCCCGCCCCCTCAACCCAGCGGCCGCCCAGGGGCGTGTGCAGAAGCGGCGCCCTACTTGTGGGGCCGGGGCTGTCCACAGTCTCTGGCGGCCACCAGGGCCTGGAATGTGCCCGTGGCAAGGGCATGGCAGCACCTCAGATAGCGAATGCCCCACTCCGGGTCAGACAACTCCATTTAGGGATCTCGGCCGCACAGACACACGTGAAAAAGCAACGTGCGAGTCAGTCACAGAGAGGTTTCCTACGATAGTCCCCAAACCAGAAAGACCCCAAATGCATAGGGACTCAGTTAAATCAATGACAGAGCCACAGAGCAGGCCCCGGTTAACCAGGCCAGCAGTGACGGAGCTGCAGAGCAGGGCCATGTAACCAGGTGACCAGTGACAGAGCCACACAGAGCAGGGCCACGTAACCAGGCCAGCAGTGACGGAGCTGCAGAGCGGGCCCACGTAACCAGGCCAGCAGTGACAGAGCCACCGAGCAGGGCCACATAACCAGGCCAGCAGTGACGGAGCCGCAGAACAGGGCCACGTAACCAGGCCAACAGTGACGGAGTCACAGAGCAGGGCCACGTAACCAGGCCAGCAGTGACGGAGCCGCCGAGCAGGGCCACGTAACCAGGCCAACAGTGACAGAGCCACAGAGCAGGGCCATGTAACCAGGCCAGCAGTGACGGAGCCGCAGAGCAGGCCCCGGGTAACCAGGCGACCACTGCAGGGGTGGCTCCTGCCAGGAGGACCTGCGGTTTCCCCAGCTGCGGCAGGGAGTTGCCCTAAATTCCTGGGAAGTTGAGGCAGGGGCGCAGAGCCCCGGAGCCGGTAAGCCCCTGGGAAACTAAGATGCCGTCTGAAGCCACTCTAACAGCTCTGCCCTGACAATCGGGACCCAACCGCCCACCCTGACCGCGAGCCGCGCACCCTCGGCGGGCCGCGCCCCTGCTTACCTAGGTCTGAACCAGTCTGTGAGCCGCAGTTCTGCTGCTGGCCGGTGCCTGGGTGCAAAGGAGAAAGCGGGTCACGGGAGGGCCGTCTGCTGCCTCCCACCTCCCGATGCCAACTGGATGGTACTCCTGGCATGACCGCAGACACAGAGCGGCTTCTGTCCTCGGGAGGCCACGTGGGGGACACCGGGACAAGGACGTGCTGGTGGGAGGTGGGGGTACCTGGTGCAGGTGGGTGGAGAAGCTGCCTGAGGACGTGAGGCCTCCTCCGCGTGTGGGAGGTGTGGACGGCCCAGGAGGGGGAGCCAGGGTGAGAGGCCCTGACCAGAGGCAGGAGGGTCGGGGAGACCGACTCGCTGGGCGGCAGAGCTCGCGTCCTGCCAGACGGTGTGCCTCTCGCACCAGTGGCTTTGTCACACCGTGACGGGGCGGGGAGGGCGGGTCACTCCAGTTACGTCCTTCATGAGAGACAGGCCCCCGCTGGGCCCCCGGCCGCCCGGCCCCCAGGCACGCACACACCGGCTGGGGGGGAGGCCCGCTGTGGGCCAGGCGCCTTCTGCCGTGCCCGCCGGCCCTGCGCCTCCCTCTCTGCCTGAGCACCGGGCTGGCCCGGGCCCTGCTTGGTGCTCCCGCTCCCGCGCAGCGGGC